ATGCAGAGAGGACAATTAACACATAGTGAGTGAGAAAGGTGACTGGAAAGGAAAAACTCAATGCATCATGGGAATCCCCCGACAGCCTATGTCAATTGCAGCATAACTAAGGGAGGATTCAGGGTCACCTGATCCAGCCCTAACTATATGCTTTACCAAAAAGGAAAGTTTTAAGCAGAGATAGTGTCTGTCTCCTGAATCCAAACTGGAAGCTGGTTCCACAGAAGAGGGGCCTGAAAACTGAAGGCTCTGCCTCCCATTCTACTTACTATACTCTAGGAACAAGCCTGCAGTGCGAGAACGAAGTGCTCTAATGGGGTGATATGGTACTACAAGGTCATTAAGATAAGATGGGGCCTGATTATTTAAGACCTTGTATGTGAGGAGCAGGATTTGAATTAAATTCTGGATTTAACAGGAAGCCAATGAAGGGAAGCCAAAACAGGAGAAATATGCTCTCTCTTTCTAGTCTCTGTCAGGACTCTCAGAGCAGCCTTTAAATCTGTTTCCTGGTGGCCTGTTGTTGGTTTTGGACATACTGCTTTTTAATCACACCGAAATAGAAACTAATCGAGTGAGGAAAGGAGATCGGTCACATAGGGTGTTGTATCAGACAGATTTATGGAACAGAAAACATCAACAAACAAAGAAGCTAAGAGTCATTATTACACAATGGCAGGCAGGAGAGCACCAAGCCGAATGAAGTGACAGCAGCAGATTATACAGCGTGAGAATGCAGGGTCCCAGACCTGGAAACATGCCCCGCCCACCAAGACAGTGAAACACATTCAGTCAGTGACTGTGACCATTTCTATTGCAGATATAAGAAACACACCTCACACATTGTTTCCTGGTCATTTTGGTGAGATAATGTCTGACTCTGGCTGTGTTTTACCCTGAAGTTACACTAACAGTGTGCTGTGGGTTCTCTGGGACGTGTCCAGCAGGATTTCACAACATGCAGGCTGAACACACACACTTTAGCCAGAGGTTGGGATGTGGTTTGATGTTGTTCATCTAAACACTTTCTCATCAGAAGTCAGTGGTTGAAACAAAGAGAAGGTTGAAACAGGAACACCTCCTGATCATGTCCTTCTATTAACTACAGAGAGACACAACCTGTTTCTGTAAATCTCACACAGAATTAATCAAATCAGTGTATTAATATATCATCATAATTTTATTTTATTTTTTGAACAAAAGAGCCACACACACACACACAAACTACCCTCAGAGGCAATAGGACAGTAAATGAAAGCATCACACATGTGCTTGTGTTGCCTTCAGGTTCTGTAGGTTTTAAAATTTATTGATGCCAAAAACAGAAACTTTCTCATGATGTTCAATGGAGAGAGAACCACAACACTGACAGCCAGTCAAAGTGAAAGGAGAAGAGAAAGAGCAGCGATTTACTCAAAGCGACTGTGAACTGAGTGTTGGTTTGATATCACTGAGTAGTAGGATGGAGGAAACGTCTCTGCTGTGTCTGCTCTGTAAGTTCACTCTGTGTTTTTCATGCCTCTCCTGTCTTCTTCAATGTAAAAACTGAGTTTAACTGTGTTAAGTTTAATTTCTCACTGCTGAGCTGCACGACAAACCAAGGTCAGTAACCTTCTTCTGTCACACTGTAAACCTGACTCACTCCTCCAGGAGACTGTGGGACACATTTATGAAGAACATGGTGCAGATCAATAAAAACATCAAACTCTTCTGTCATAATAGTGTTATTTTACTCCTCCTTAGGGGCAGGGATAGCTCAGTAGGTAAAGTGGTCGCCCCATGATCGGAAGGTCGGCGGTTCGAATCCACTTAACGGCTACCCTGAGGTACCCCTGAGCAAGATACCGTCCCTACACACTGCTCCCCGGGCGCCTGCTTAGTGGGCTGCCCACTGCTTCACTGAGTGAATGGGTCAAATGCAGAGAAAAAGCAAGTAATTTCCCCATGGGGATCAATAAAGTATCCATTATTATTATTATTATTGATGAGGGTGTCTAGTGATAATGGCCGAAACACCCGATGAATCCAAGGTCCAGTACTGGCGATGTGTCCCAAATCTTAAATATGATAATCTAGATCAGAAATCTAATCCCCCTAAAAATGGCAGATTAGCCTTAAAGACGGAAAGTTGAGGCACACAACGATGTCTCTGGGCTGCCTTTCCTCATAACAGGCATCCCTCAAGATTCTCGCCATTTAAAGCAATGCATTATCATGGACTACAACATCTAGTCCTTTTACTGAATCGAATAAATAAATCACTCAAATAAACAAATAGCTCATCCTTCAGCTACCTTTTGGCCGCCAATTGACCTTTGACCTTTCTGTTTACATCATTCTCCTTGTGTCTGTGTGGGTTTTCTCTGGGCGCTCCAGCTTAGTCCCACTGCCTAAGACATACGAGTGAAGTTATTTGGTGATTCTCGAGTGATTGTGATTGAGTGTGGATAGTTTGTCTTGCTACAGTCTGTTTTGTATCGCATCTTTCACACTCAGCCTGGGATAGTCTCCAGACCCCACTTGAGCATAAAGTGCTAAGTATTTTTTAAACAGGTCAAAAGTAGTTGTTGTGTGTTTGTTGATGAACCATAACAGGGAGCATCTATTGTTTTTAGCCTATGATTAACAGGAAACTAACAGCTCTGTGGATTCCAGTTTCTGATGAAAACACTCCAGTGCTTTTTTATTAATAGACACGAGCCTCCAGAATTTAGTCCATCGTCCTCAGCCTCTCCAGCTTTTTATATACAGATGTAAATTGACTAATACTAAAAAGAACGCATAGATATAGATAAAGGACATGAATGATTTTTGTATCTTATTCAAATCAGCTGCAGAGGTAGCTTTCAGGCTGTATAACTTGCATTGATGTTCTCTGTGTGTTTTGTTCCGCAGGGATAAATCGGTATGCACTCTACTCAACAGTGAGGAAAAAAACACCACTTATTCACAAATCGTGAAAGACAAGAGAAAGAAATCAAAGTCAACAGGTACGGCTTCTCTCCTTTGTCTCTGTCATTGTTCCGAATCAGAACAAGATCCCAGCACGTTGATATTTTAGTCAGTATCAAAAGGACACTGATCAATGGCCATGAGTGCCATTCACAGAGAGTTGGGGAATGGCTGCAATCACAGCATTGTAAGATGGTGACAGATGTACCCTTAGGCTCTTTTCACATAAATGGTGTCCATGACTTTCTGCTCAAACCAGCTTTCATGTGTACATCCTCATCATTGAAAGAGTGTCCACTGGCCTGTAGCCATATATAGACTGTGACGTTTTGGCATTTGTGCCGGGGCGCTCGATTCTTGGGGCAGACCGGTTTTTGGCGCAGCATATTTTGGGGTTTTGCGTCAGTATTGAAAAAGCTGAGATGCACTTTCTTTAATTAGTGGAGCAGGAAAAAGAAAACACCAAGAACTGTGTTTAAACCTTTTAAATTGACATAATGATGTTTGTCTTTCCAGAGTTTCCATCAGAGCAGTAGTAGTCCACCAGTCCAACCACTGCAGTCCAGCTGAGGGTCTCGAATCCGTCCACCCAACACCCCAGATAACAATTACTTGTATAACCGATTAGTAGATATCTTCTGTTCTTTACATGGAGTTACAGTCACACAACTTTTGTGAGACAAGAAATCAATTCAACAGCGAAAAAGATTTTTTATTAAAAAAAAAACCTTTAAAAATGTAAATGCTAAAGACTAAAACAAATATATTTCGAACAAACTGTGCGTGTCTATTTGTACATTTTGATTCAAGGAAATTGAATTTATGAGACTTCAGTTGTTATTCAAACTAAGCATGCCACCATAGTATTATATCTTTCGAATTATGCAGCTGCACACATTCATCTTAGCGTGTTTTTCAGTGTCTGTGGACACAGGGTATAGATTTTCTTTTAAACTTCTATGGCTGATTGCCTGCAGACCAGGACCACCCGAAACAGGAACAGTTTCTTTCCCCTCGCCATCTCCCTTCTTAACAGTTGACCTGTCACACTGCTCCCACTGCCAGACTGCAGCTGCACCTTATGTACATTTTGTAGTATTCATTCCACCTCATTCATTTCTGTATTTTATGTATATAAGTTTAGATTCGTTATTTATAGTTGGTTTACATAGCTTTGTGTATGTGTGTAATGTGTATATATAGACACTTGTGTGTGTGAGATTTACATTGCTGTGCTTGAGAGCCACCATCTACCGGAACCAAATTCCCTGTATGTGTCTGCACATATACTTGGCCAATAAACACGATTCTGATTCTGATAAAGACAATGATGAATCTGTGCCTGTCATAAAAACTGACAACAAATGGATCAGAGCCACATCTGTATGTTTTAAAGAACAATCTAGTGAAAGCTAGCTTGCTGTGACAGTTGACTCTTTAGCTGCATCGTAACAAATGCAATGTACTGCAGGCTCACAGGTAAACAATTCTATCAGTACTTTCAAAGTCTTGAAACTGTAAATCTTATGTGGATTTAGAATTGATAAGTTGACTGTGTTGTGCCCCCTGGTCTGACAGGTGGCTGGGAGGTGTGCAATCCTAGATCCTGCAGCTGTGCATTAAAATAAAGAGGCACAGATCATGAGCTTGTTTACAGTTTCAACTGCAGGATTTATTCTGCAGATTTGCCTCCAAAGAGGGTTTACGTTCCTCCTGAGCATTAGGCGCCATCTAGTGGTATCTTTAAGTAATGCCATAGAACATGTAAAGTGTAGCGGATAACCGTGATTCAGCAAATATAATAAGACATAATAAGCACAAAAAAATATAACGGGGGTGTCCATTTTTTTTTACCTTGTTTGAAGACATGAACTGAACTTAAATCCCCATAAGTTATGAATGCTCTTCTATTCTATTCAATTCAATTTTATTTATATAGCACCAAACCACAACAGTCGCCTCAAGGCGCTTTATATTGTACAGTATATCCTATAATAATACATATGGTGAAAAACCCAACAATCATATGACCCCTTATGAGCAGCACTTTGGCAACAGTGGGAAGGAAAAACTCCCTTTTAACAGGAAGAAACCTCCAGCAGAACCAGGCTCAGGGACGGGCGTCCGTCTGCTGCGATCTCCTGCTTCTTATCCCTTAACTTTTTAACTATTAGTTTAACTCATATTTCTGGCTTAAACACACATTTTTAACCTTTTACAAATGCTTGAAAGTGTTTATGTTTGAAAGTGTCAACAGTCAGTGCTGCAGAGAATTGTCTTTGTTGCAGAACCAAAAGTGACCACTAGCAGAGTAATATAAAGGTTGTAACAGAAGTAGTGGCTTAAAAGCAAATTGTGATTTCTCAATTTCTATCTAAAGTCTCTATTTTCTTGTAGCGTATTGTACCCTCCTAACGAGGAGTGTATCAACTTTATCATGACCATGCACTGCAAATGTTGTTAAAAAGAAACTTTAGCAAAAAAAAAACTTATTTCTAACACATGAAATGGAACAATAATTAAAAGAAAGACTGTTGAAATAATAAGTAGTGTACATCTCTCTAATACGTTTGGATTTGAGTGCAAATGTCTTGGCCTCTCAGTTGGATACTTGAACATATTCTTTTGTTATTGCAAAATTCAAACTAGACCTGATCTGATTTACAGTCTCCAAGGTGAAGCTTGAGCACGCCCTTATTATGCAGCTCCACCCAGTGGGAAAACTCATTTGGCATTGCATGGACTTTCCTATTATAGGGTACATTATCATAGTAGTGGTTAGTCAGGGGAAAGAGTTTATCTGGGTGATTACTAAATGGCCAGAATCCATACAAATGCACCGTTTCACAAAATTCCAGTGCCAGGGTAGTCATATATAATCCAGTGCTAGGTCGATATTCCTTTAACCCCAGAGATTCCCAGAATATGACCAGTCTTTCGAGATACCTAGGGTTTATGAAGATTGGTTGGATAGGGATATCCATGTCCTCAATGGCATACACAGCCCGCTGACACGCTGGGCGAGTACCACCATAGGAGAAGCAAGGAAAGAGAAGCAGGGAGTTGCCATACTGTTGGAGACTGTCTGCAAACGCCCCACGACGTCCCGTCAGTGACCCATACCTGCAAATTAATGCATGACTTAAAGCAACAAGACATAAACTAACAAGTCAGTTCAATGTCGGGTTCATTAATTGCTCACTTATGCATGAAGATGCTTGGGTTTGCTGTCACAAGGTTAGTCTTCCTGCCGACATCATTGTGAAATTCATTTTCCAGAGGAGGAAGGTTGCACCTGAAATAACATGAAATATTACTTTCAGAGAGAAGAGTCCTCATCACGATTTCCATTCCTTACAGTGAACATCTTTCTCACCTAATAACAAAATCAGCTGAATCAATCATTTTTCCACAGCCGCTGTTTGTTAGAATCCCACCGCTCCCAACAATTGAACAAGTGTCCCATCTCTTTTTTGAGAAAGGATTCTCCTGGAAGTGACATCAGCAGATTATAAATAACAAAGAGCAACATTTACAGTGCTTGTAACATACAGTGTGTGAAAGACAACTACTCATTGTATTTAGGAACTGATGTGATTTAATCCTTTAAGGATGATGACAAAACGTAGTCAAGTCATGTTTGAAAATTTGAAGAACAACAGAGGCATGAAACATGCAGCAAATTTTGTCTTCATACTAGTTCATTCATAAACAACAAATTACAAGACCGGTTCCTGTGTTTAGGAATAACATACTTTTATAAAGATTTTGAAAAGCTCCGGGGTCACAGAGATGACACTCCTGTCCTTGTCACAAACAATCTTAGATCCCACTGGAGTGTTTTCCTGAGTGACGATGCCATTGTTGGATCCATTGCAATTGATGCTCAGCTGTAATCTTGATAAATTAAAAACAAATGAAAAACAAATAAAAGAAAGCATAAAAAGTAAAATTAGTTTTGGTGTTAAGATGAAAGATTTGCAAGACAGTAAAAACTTAAGGCGTGGAAAAATCAGAGACAGATAAAGTTCACAACAGTCCATAACAGTGATTTTATGAGAAACCAAACGCAGACAAAAGGAGACAAAACTGAGATTAAGTCAGAGTATTTTTTATTAAGGCATATTTACAAAACTAGGAAAAACAAAAAACTAAACTGAGGAACATTTAAATTAGGTATTTAAATAAATAAACACAAACCCCTGAAGGGCAGGAAGAAACCTTGGTATATCGTTGAAATAAGAAAACACGAGGAGGTAGTCACTGGAGGAAAACTGGAGGAACACAGGAGGAAATGAAGCTGAAAATATTTTCAACTTATCTTTGCTAACAGCATGACTCAGATATTCTAGGATCTGGATATAATAGTTCCAGCCAATTCAAGAAGTCAAGACAGATTCCTTAAATTTAGGCAGTCCTTCAAAGTAGCAAATGATCCTAATGTCTCTGATCAGGGTAAACAAATGATGCCCTCTGGAAAGTGAGAGCTCTCTTAAATGTGACAAGACGGACTCAGTCTGCCGAGACCATGGAAGAATGACTGTCTTCATACATCTGTACCAAATCACAACTTCTGAGTGGTCTGTTCATCTGGACGTAGCGCTTTTAGTGGGAGAAATGCTTCGTCATTCATACAAGTGGCTTCTTCTGTCTCAGCTGACTGCAGGTTGTCCCGTTTTCATTGTTCATTCAGTGGTGCTAGTTTCAGTCATTGTGCAAATGTGCTGTTTATAGATTGGGGAAACCTGCAGTCAGCTGAGACTCAAGGAGTCGCTTGGATGAGTGACGAAACATTTCTTCCAATGAAAACACTACGTGAACAGAATTACTTACCTGGATGACTGAGCATTGCATCAAGACATATTACATATCACTTCTTATCCTTAATGAATGTTGCGTGTTCTCATTTTGCCCTTGCTCAAGCTTCCCAGAAGCTGGTTTTTCCTCCTCTGAGCATTCACGTTCCTGCTCTACTTTCTGGCCCTCCTCTACCTCATCTCTGCTTCCTCTAAAGAGGGCTTGTTCAGATTAAATAGAACAAGAAACCAAAACATTAAAATATGTTAAAAACACGCACAGTAGTTTGGATCTGGAAGCAGAGTTCATACGTCGTCAATTGAAGATTGGGTATCCCACCTGCTGTGAATGTTTTAATGCCGTACAGTTATTATTAACATCGCTTGTTACATCCTGTTTATGACAGTTAAAATAAATAACATTCATATAAGAGATAAAATTGTCTTGTGTAAACTGTATGTGGTATTAAATAGGCCTATACAAGTGTACTTTAATATCGGTCATAAGGGTGTTACTTTAAGAGACATATATTTTATGAGGTGCTCTGAGGAGCTTGGAAAGGAAAGCGTCTGGACTTCTTTAAGTTGCTTGAAGACGTTTCACCTGTCATCCGAGAAACTTCTTTAATTTAAGTTCAAATGGTGGAGAGTCCCAGATTTAAGCCCTATGGTAGTGAACCCCAAAAGGGACAATAGACCCCCTATTGATTCTCTTTCTAATCACACGAGTCAAGGTGTGAAAACAGGTGTAGTCCACGATTAGCCAAGGTTTCTTAGGGGACACTCCCATGGGGCTTAAATTCTCTATGCCTCACTCAGCCATCTGTCAAAAAATGCATGATCATTGTTAGTGCAATGGTGATGTGGGAACAGGATGTGTGTGTGAACTCAAAAGTCCCAGGATGATAATTGGGTTCATCTGAATATTTGCTTTTCAGTTGGTGAAACATTTTACCACCAGTGTTGGTCAAGTTACTTGAAAAAAGTAATGAGCAACTAATTACTGATTACTTCCCCAAAAAGTAATCCCGTTACTTTACTGATTACTTATTTTCAAAAGTAATTAATTACTTAGTTACTTAGTTACTTTTTAAAAACACGATTTACAACCTGAAGAGGTGATAAAGCGATAGATCTTTTAGCCCAATTCTACTTTTTCTACATAATCCATCATACAAAATGTAATCAAATGGAAAAGTCTCTTTTTTTTAACTTGTTTTATTAGTTTTAATCTTTTAACTTTATGCATCAAGCAAAAATTTAATTATATGCAACATTCTCTGACTTAAGTAAATTAGTTTAACATTTAAACCTATTTTCTACACATTCCAGCACATAAAATAAAATATTTTTTGTGTTTACACTCAGTCTTTCAAATAGATGCAAGTAAAACACAGCAGAAAATAAATAAAGTCAAAGACTCAGCGGTGCTGTTGCTCTATTTTCACCTGTAAAGCAGGACTACGGTAGGCGGAGGTTTACCCTGGTGCAGGTCAGTTGAAGAATCCGCGAGTTTCTCTGTGAATTTCCCATTACGTCGTAGCGCACTCGGTGCTTGCTCGGAAGTTTAGGGGTTTTTTCCGCTGTAAATAGAAGTTTTCTTCCCACGCACAATGGACGCTAATGTTTTTGTCACTTTTTATGGAATCAAACTCAAAGTAAGGTCAGTACTTCCACGCTTTAAACGCTGCACACTCATACTCTCCATTGTTGATCTGCACACAGCTGTTGTCACTAACGGCGCACTCGCTTACGTCACTGTCGTGAGGAATTCTCGCAAAAAATCACGGTTTTAGTAACGCAGTAACGCAGCGTTCCTATGGGAAAGTAACGGTAATCTAATTACCGTTTTTGCAATAGTAATCCCTTACTTTACTCGTTACTTGAAAAAAGTAATCAGATTACAGTAACGCGTTACAAGTAACGCGTTACTGCCCATCTCTGTTTACCACTCATCCAAGTGACTTCTTCATTCTCAGCTGACTGCAGGTTTCCTCAAACTTAAACAGTACCTTTGCATAAATATCAAAACACTTTAATGATTGTTATGATCCAATAGACCAACGGCATTCATTCACACGGAGCTCTGGAATGGCTGAAATCAGACCATTATAAAAGTCTCAAAGAGTTACCCTTAGATCCAGCTGGAATTCATTTTTATCTTTAAGGCTATTATGTCAAAATTAACATCACACATTTGTTTTATCCTTTACCACACACAGTTACAGTATGTATTGTAGACTAGTAAGAAGTGTTGGAAGTAGTCTATAACACTGACAACAACAGGCACAGACAGAAGCCCCTTCTCTGAGGAATTTGAGGGGGATGGTCTGCCTAGACTGCTGATGGCACCAGAAGGTACAAAACTTCAAGACTGACTCTGTTAGAAGAAAGAGGCCCATAAAGAAGCTCTCTTCCCCACTTTCCTTTTCCTTCCCCCCTCCCTATCTCTGTATGCAGGCCTGACCAGAGTGCAAGAGGTGGTTGCTATGGTAATGGGATTTTTTTTCCTGAAAAAGGCTCATGTCTATATAAGGAGACGTATAGAGAGAGGTACAAGAATGACGATGACGATTATGTTGTCCTCACTAAGCGACACGACCGCCTTCCTCTCCTCCATGGATGCTGGAAGATTTGCATTGCTGAGGAGGCCAAAACCATCATTCGCAGTTGCGTCCACATCCACAGTGTTGGTTCAGGTTTCTGAATCTGTGGCTGCGATCAGCTCCACTAGTGGAATTTGTCTCTACATCACAGCAAAGTTCAACATTTTTGCAAGAGAATTTTCTCTACTTGATTTAGTTGCCTCAGACAATTTTTTCCACCCACTTGTACACATCCTGAGTGTGAGTCTGCTAAATAAGTAAACCAAACCTTTATTTCTTTCTGGCTGGTCTTAGACTTTTAATTGTGGGCTGGTCAAAGGTCCCCTTTTCACGTGTCTTCTTAACTAAAACTAGTTTAAGCATATTGACGGGAAAATTTGTTTAGGCAAGGCAAGGCAAGGCAAGGCAAATTTATTTGTATAGCACAATTCAACAACAAGGTGATTCAAAGTGCTTTACAGAGACATTAGAAACAAGAACAAATAAAAAGCATGATTTAAAATGATTAAAACAAGCAAACAAACTAACTAAACACACACATTTCACACCTGTTCGCGCGATCTGAACCCTTATCGTAAGGGGAGCTACCAGTCCTTCTGTGGACGAGCTACTTTCTATTTTAAATTCCCTGAATTTAAAATACTCTCTAGACCCAGTCTAGACCCAGCTGGGGAGCTACCCAGAGCTCTAAACCCACTTAACAAACAAACAAACAAACAAAACAGTATATAAAATCAAAACAGATAAAATCAGTAGTTAATGTAAGTTTTGAAATTTAAGCTTAACAAACAAACAAAACAGTATATAAAATCAAAACAGATAAAATCAGAAATAGATAAGATCAGTAGTTAGTGTAAGTTTTGAAATTTAAGCTTAAAAGTGTGGATTTGGTGCTTTATTCAAATGCAGCTGAGAATAGGTGAGTCTTCAACCTGGATTTAAATAAACTGAGTGTTTCAGCTGATCTGAGGCTTTCTGGGAGTTTGTTCCAGATATAAGGAGCATAAAAGCTGAATGCAGCTTCTCCGTGTCTGGTTCTGACTCTGGGAACTGATAAAAGACCGGATCCAGATGACCTGAGGGATCTGGAAGGTTCATACTGGGTCAGGAGGTCATTGATGTATTTTGGTTCTAAACCATTCAGAGCTTTATAGGCCAGCATCAGAACTTTAAAGTCTATCCTCTGACGGACAGGCAGCCAGTGTAAAGACCTCAGAGCTGGACTGATGTGGTCCACTTTTTTGGTCTTAGTGAGGACTCGAGCAGCAGAGTTCTGAATGAGCTGTAGTTGTCTGACTGATTTTTTAGGTAGACCTGTAAAGATGCTGTTACAGTAATCAAGCCTACTAAAAATGAATGCATGGACTAGTTTTTCCAGGTCCTGTTGAGACATCAGATCTTTTATCCTTGAAATATTCTTGAGGTGATAGTAAGCTGACTTTGTTATTGTCTTAATGTGTTTTTCTAAGTTTAGGTCTGCATCCATCACTACACCCAAATTTCTCGCCTGGTTTGTGGTTTTTAGATGTATAGATTGAAGTTCTCTGGTGACCTGTAATCGTTTTTCTTTGGCGCCAAAGACTATTACTTCAGTTTTGTCTTTGTTTAGCTGGAGAAAATTGTGGCACAACCAGTCATTAATTTCCTCAATGCATTTACCAAGAGCCTGTACAGGGCCTCGGTCTCCTGGTGACATTGTGATATATATTTGTGTGTCATCTGCATAGCTATGATAGTTTATTTTGTTGTTCTTTATAATCTGTGCCAGTGGGAACATGTAAATGTTAAACAGAAGGGGTCCCAAGATGGAACCTTGGGAACTCCACATGTGATACTTGTCTGCTCAGATGTGAAGTTACCTATTGATACAAAGTATTTCCTGTTTTCTAAGTATGTTTTGAACCAGTTTAGTACAGTTCCTGAAAGACCTGCCCAGTTCTCCAGTCGTTTGAGTAATATGTTGTGGTCAACTGTATCAAATGCTGCACTGAGATCCAGTAAAACTAGGACTGACATTTTTCCACTGTCTGTGTTCAGACATATGTCATTAAACACTTTTGTCAGAGCGGTTTCAGTGCTGTGGTTCTGTCTAAAACCTGACTGGAAGGCATCGTAGCAGTTATTCTGTTTTAAGAAGTAATTGAGCTGTTGAGAAACTGCTTTTTCAATGATCTTACTTAAAAATGGGAGATTTGAGATCGGCCTGTAGTTTTTCATTTGTGTCTTGTCAAGATTGTCCTTTTTCAGTATAGGTTTGATTAGCCGGTTCGTTTAGCAAATGGCTCTTAGCCTTGACTGAAGAGCTTGTTTAAAGACCTTTAGGAGTAATCCTGCCTCATCTGCATTTGAGGATAAATAGCAGCTGTTTCCTGTAGTCTGCCATCTTCCATGCTCGTACTCACATACTGGCTTCAGGCATTTTTTATTTATTTATTATTAACCAGAAATTCACATAAAAATAAAACTCAACCATCAATCAATAATATCAGGATGTTAGGTCTTACCTGAATCTGTGGTAATTCTCCTCATGCTTTTTCCACGTTGGATTGTAGAGCTTTTTCACTTCATCAATGACTTCCCTGTAATGCACAAGCATTCCAGTACATTTAGTAACCTTCCTGCACTGGGTGTCTGTGAAGGTTCTCAGTCATCCAGGTCATCGTAGTCTAAGGAGCTTGAAAAGAAAAGCGTCTGGACTTTTAAAATTTTCCTTTAAGACGTTTCACCTCTCACCCGAGAAGCTTCTTCAGTTCAAAGAGCAAATGGTGGATGTGGTGGCAGTGTCCCCCAAGGGGGGTCATGTTGACCATGTTGACGTTTTCAAGAAAAATAAAGAAGTTCTGACACTTTTCTTTCCAAGCTCCTTAGACCTACTCCTTCCTGCAGGGGGCTTACATGACTTAATCTTGACATAAAAATTGTAATTTCTTAATGAACAAGTCATGGCAATGTTTGCTCTTACTTGCAGCCTTTACAAAGTTCAGAGGGCTTTGGGGCACTTCTTTGAGGATTTGGTCGGTGAAGCTCGGCAAAACTGTGAGAGACAAATAAGAGATAAAATTATGACTCTTTCTTGAACCCTTCTTTGGTCTTGTTTTTTTTTTCTGTTGTTCTTGTTTTGTTTACATCTCACGGGAGGTAATTTGTGATTTTAACTCATTTATTAAATTTGATCCCTGTTCTTAAGTATGTTAAATATTTAAGATATTATTAGAGGGGTCTATGAGTTGTTGGAAATTTAAAGATTACAAGTAATGCCGTAATTCACTTGAGAGATGTTTGTATCAGATATTGTATCTATACACAATGAGGTTTTTGTTTGTTTGTTTGTTTGTTTTGTTTTTTAATAGTCTTAAATGTCAACTCAAATATACCAACTGTGTTATTGGCAGCTGCTGTGCTATAAAGCACAGACAGTTTGGTGCAGGCTAAACAGAATAGAATAGAATAGAATAGAATAGAATAGAATAGAATAGAATAGAATAGAATAATCCTTTAATTGTCCCCACAAGGGGAAATTTGGTTAGTCTGCAGTATTGTATTGAAGTTTACAGCATTGCTGTTGTTGTTGAACAGTTGCAGAACAGCTTTCGTGTTTACAGTCATAGTTCAGTCACATCAGTGGTGCCAGAGATCAGTTTCAATTTAAGATGATGAGGGTGTTTAAAAATCAGTGAGTCAGTGTAAAAGTCAGAGCTCAAATGTGACATGATATTTGGTTACAAGCTAGAGTGTGATATTAACCATCGCTAGATACCAATAGAATTCCCTAAATGCTGTCACTGCAAACAAAAGGAATTGAAGTTTTAAGTATAGTTTTAATGATAAAAGAATTAACCTTATTGGAACTTGAAGAAGCGGTCCAGAGTACGTTATTTACTAATATTAAGATATTTAGAATCCCCATTTAGCATTCCTATATGGCTATATATAATCAATATCAACAGTGACAGTAAGAAACACGTATAGTATATCTGCATATAGTAAACGGAATATGTTTCTGGTAACATTTGTGTGTAAACGTGTGCGATTGTGCCTGTAAGGACACATAAATACAGGGTAACAAAACACAGTTTGCATCCAATCAGATGTGCAAGAGCAGTAAGTGCAATACGAGCAGATTATATAAGGATAAGGATAGTATAAAAGGAGGGAATAGCTATGAACAGATTATGTACAAGTAAGTTAAGTATACACAAATAAGTATTCAGATATTTATATTGCTATGCAGAGACCAAATATACAGATGTGATGTTGTATACAAATGTATAGATGATCTATACTGTTATACAGATGGGATACACAGATACAGTGGGGCAAAAAAGTATTTAGTCAGCCACCGATTGTGCAAGTTCCCCCACTTAAAATGATGACGGAGGTCAGTAATTTGCACCAGAGGTACACTTCAACTGTGAGAGACAGAATGTGAAAAAAAAAAAATCCATGAATCCACATGGTAGGATTTGTAAAGAATTTATTCGTAAATCAGGGTGGAAAATAAGTATTTGGTCAATAACAAAAATACAACTCAATACTTTGTAACATAACCTTTGTTGGCAATAACAGAGGTCAAACGTTTACTATAGGTCTTTACCAGGTTTGCACACACAGTAGCTGGTATTTTGGCCCATTCCTCCATGCAGATCTTCTCGAGAGCAGTGATGTTTTGGGGCTGTCGCCGAGCAACACGGACTTTCAACTCCCGCCACAGATTTTCTATGGGGTTGAGGTCTGGAGACTGGCTAGGCCACTCCAGGACTTTCAAATGCTTCTTACGGAGCCACTCCTTTGTTGCCCGGGCGGTGTGTTTTGGATCATTGTCATGTTGGAAGACCCAGCCTCGTTTCATCTTCAAAGTTCTCACTGATGGAAGGAAGTTTTGGCTCAAAATCTCACGATACATGGCCCCATTCATTCTGTCCTTAACACGGATCAGTCGTCCTGTCCCCTTGGCAGAAAAACAGCCCCATAGCATGATGTTTCCACCCCCATGCTTCACAGTAGGTATGGTGTTCTTGGGATGCAACTCAGTATTCTTCTTCCTCCAAACACGACGAGTTGAGTTTATACCAAAAAGTTCTACTTTGGTTTCATCTGACCACATGACATTCTCCCAATCCTCTGCTGTATCATCCATGTGCTCTCTGGCAAACTTCAGACGGGCCTGGACATGCACTGGCTTCAGCAGCGGAACACGTCTGGCACTGCGGGATTTGATTCCCTGCCGTTGTAGTGTGTTACTGATGGTGACCTTTGTTACTTTGGTCCCAGCTCTCTGCAGGTCATTCACCAGGTCCCCCCGTGTGGTTCTGGGATCTTTGCTCACCGTTCTCATGATCATTTTGACCCCACGGGATGAGATCTTGCGTGGAGCCCCAGATCCAGGGAGATTATCAGTGGTCTTGTATGTCTTCCATTTTCTGATGATTGCTCCCACAGTTGATTTTTTCACACCAAGCTGCTTGTCTATTGTAGATTCACTCTTCCCAGTCTGGTGCAGGTCTACAATACTTTTCCTGGTGTCCTTCGAAAGCTCTTTGGTCTTGGCCATGGCGGAGTTTGGAGTCTGACTGTTTGAGGCTGTGGACAGGTGTCTTTTATACGGATGATGAGTTCAAACAGGTGCCATTCATACAGGTAACGAGTGGGGGACAGAAAAGCCTCTTACAGAAGACGTTACAGGTCTGTGAGAGCCAGAGATTTTCCTTGTTTGAGGTGACCAAATACTTATTTTCCACCCTAATTTACGAATAAATTCTTTACAAATCCTACCATGTGAATTCATGGATTTTTTTTTTCACATTCTGTCTCTCACAGTTGAAGTGTACCTCTGGTGCAAATTACTGACCTCTGTCATCATTTTAAGTGGGGGAATTTGCACAATCGGTGGCTGACTAAATACTTTTTTGCCCCACTGTATACAGATGTACTGTGAACCAACATGTAGAAAGTACCATACAAAGATATGTGGTGTGCTGGGAGTGCTAAATGGAATCTCCCATCATCCCCCTGGGACATTGTGTTTACTCTGTTATGGTTTTGTAGCTGTTATAGGTCGTTTCTACCAATAGTGCAGTGTTGATTTGATTTACAGTTGTTGCGGTGGTAAAAAAGATTTGTTACACAATAAGTGAAGGCATGTGCAGGGTTACTGACCCCATTGGAAGCGCAGTGTTGGTTGTTTTGTTTTTTTATGTGCTGAATGAAAGAAGGTCCTCTATATCTCGCTTGAGCTACAGCAACATCTGAAGGTTCAGTACCTCTTTGTAGATTCCCCACTTTGTGGTTTCTCAGCTCTTTACAACACCATACTATATATGAGTTTGTATTTCACTTTACATTTTACGTCTGCCTTTCTTTCAAAATGAATCCTAACTAAAAAAAAAAGTATTGTCAAAAGAAATTAAGTGCAGCCAAGTTAATTAGAAATATACTTTTGTGCAATACTACGTAATATACAAGTTATTCATGTCCAGTTATTTACAAATCAGTACCAATAATGTTGTGTAGTCAGAGTAAACCGGTCATGTGACTCTAACTTTATTTTCACTGCACAACAAAACTCGTATCAAAAGAACAATGCAAACAAAACAAACATACCAAATACTATGTTATTTCCTTAGAAGGAAATACAGAGTGAGAGCTGAGGTTTGTGGTTACGTGTGAAAGAATGAATGACAAAGACATGAAGACATGTACTTCAGCTTTTACCAGAGTATTTTTTAACAAACATGAAATGTGTATTTCTACTTAAATTAAGCATGTTTGTATTTCTGCAACCTCAGGCTTATATTAGCATTTTACACAGCTTCCCAACTGTTGGGAAGCGTTTATCACAGTGCCATAAGCTACTTTTGATCAGAATACTTTGTTTCATGACCTCTGGCTTTTATCTGTAAAATACAAAAGTACTCACTCACCTGTCCTCAAACGCGTACCAGGTAAGAGTGGTCAGCAGACTCCCCAAACAGAGAAAATTGATCACAATCGAGAGGTTTTTCCTCATGTCGCTCTAGTGCTTCACCTTTCTTAACACTTCGCTTTAACTCAGCTTTTTTTATGTACTTTTACCTCATATGTTGATACGGTTATCTGCCCGGTATTAAATCCGGTTCTTTTATATTCTTTACGGCCAAAAGACAAAAGTGCTCAAAGTGGTAAAACTCAAAAAATGATCTTTAATTTTACATATTCCGGAATATGGAGACCCAGCAGACACACAGACACGTCAGCCAAAATCTGAAGCACAAACAGGAAGCCTAGTTATATTTATATACTCCCTCTAGTCGTCACACCAGGTGAGGTGGTGAGTGACAGGAGAATGGTGGCTAAGCTGTCATCCCTGTTGGACAACATTTCCCACCCCATGCATGAGGCTCTGACAGCACTGAGCAGCTCCTTCAATGGGAGACTGCGGCACATTGCACTAGAGATTTGCATACTTTGATGAGCATACTTTTTTTACCGTGTTGTGCAAAGCAATGACCAGTAGAACAATGCACATTTGTCCTCTAGTATAATGAGGAGGGAGAATCAATGTTCAGGAAGATCCGGGGTTAGAAGATAAAGAAAATATTGTCAATATTTAGAGCACATGCTACCCTTTCTCTGAAAAATCACATCAGCCACCTGCAGAAGTGGAAGAAGGCTATAAAGTGAAGAAAAGTGATGAAGAATCTGAACTATGTTCAAGTAGGTTCTCAGGCATCCAGGACATGGTAGTCTGAGGAGCTTGGAAAGAAAGTGACTGGGCTTCTTGAAGTTTCTTGAATTTTCAGAATGTGAAACTGAAATAGAAGATGTGTCAGAGGACTACACATCTTCCATTTCAATTATGATGAATGAACTGGACATGTGTGTACTTAATAAACTGGCAAATTACAGCAGGATTTTCCTATTGCAGAAGTTGGAACAGTTTGTTGCCAGGATGGGACGGGTCCTTCAGTATCTGCGCTGCTCTAGTCCGGCATCTCCTGGTGTAGGTGTCCTGAAGCGGGGGGAGAGCAATCCTGCAGCAGCGTTCTGCTGTACGGATCACTCTCTGGAGAGCTTTTGGGTCCTTCACACAGCTGTTCCCAAACCACGATGTCATGTTCTGTGTGAGGATGCTCTCCACAGCGCCTGTATAGAAAATCCTGAGGATCTTTGGAGAGACCCTGAACTTCCTCAGTTGTCGTAGGTGATAAAGGCGCTGCCTAGCCTTTTTGGTCTGGACCTGAATGTGGGCAGCCCATGTCAGGTCTGAGGAGATGTGGACACCAAGATACTTGAAGGACTGCACCCTCTCCACTGGAGCTCCATTGATGATGATGGGCTTGTAGTCTCTGTGCTGACCCCTTCTGAAGTCCACCACCAGCTCTTTGGTCTTGCTGACGTTCAGCTGGAGGTGGTTGTCCTGGCACCATGATGCCAAATTCTTCACTTCATCCACGTAGGCCGCCTCATCGTTGTTGGAGATGGCACCCAACACCACTGTGTCGTCAGCAAACTTCACAATGGTGTTGGAGCCGTGGGTGGCCACACAGTCTGAAGTGTAGAGGAAGTAGAGCAGTGGCGAGAGGACACATCCCTGAGGTGCTCCTGTGTTGATGGTGATGCTGTTGGAGAAGCACCTGCCCACCCTCACCGCCTGAGTTCTGCCAGTGAGGAAGTCCAACACCCATGCACACAGACGGCTGTTAAGTCCCAGATCCCTCAGCTTTGTGAACAGTCTGCAGGGCACTATTGTGTTAAAAGCTGAACTGTAATCAACAAACAGCATTCGCACATAGTTACCCTGTTTCTTGTCCACGTGGCTGAGAGTGGTGTGTAGGACGTGGGCGATGGCATCCTCTGTGGATCTGTTGGATCTGTAGGCGAACTGCAGCGGATCTGTGGTGTCTGGGATGGAGGAGGAGATGATGTTCTTCAGCAGCCTCTCAAACACCTTCGTTACTACCGAGGTCAGTGCAACTGGCCGGTAATCGTTCAGGGATGAGGGTTTGCTGTTCTTGGGCACAGGGATGATGGTGGATCTTTTGAAGCATGCGGGACCACAGACTTCACCAGGGACTCGTTGAAGATGTAAGTGAACACACCTGCTAGCTGGTCAGCACAGCAGCGCAGCAGACGGCCGGTGATGACCCGTCTGGCCCCGCCGCTTTCCTTGTGTTCACTCTCCTCAATGCCGCTCGGACGTCATGCTCTGCGATGCTGGTCACCGGTCTCTCGCTGATGACGTCACTGTCCTCGGTAGTCAGGCGGTAGATAGCATTAGCCGCCTGGCTAACCTCGAAACGGGCGTAGAACTGATTCAGCTCGTTGGTGAATGATCCGACCAGAGTCGGCGTTGATCGGCGCAGTGTCCCTGGCTTTGTAGTCCGTAATGGTGCGTAGTTTATTTGGGTTCCTTTAATCAAAAACATCTCCAGAAGTGAATTCGTGTGTGGTTCTGTAAAATAACAGAAATTACAATTAGCAAACAATTAAAGTAAACCAAACTGGTCTAAATAATACAGAAAGGGTTGAACAGAAAATCTAATTCGAAAATGACTAAACACCACCCCCTGGTGGACACAAATGGGCTGCTGCACAGGGATAGACTCCATCTTTACTTTGGGCAGCTCAGTTCACAAGGGTGGCGCCATTTTGGTCAATCAGGGTGAATATACAGTGTCTCGTGGCTACACAAACCGCTGGAAAACTCTATAAAAGTATCACACAATGTACATACCAATTATATGATAAGTTACAACCATAGAGCAAACAAATACAAGGCACTTACTTATTATTCACGCACACGCACGACACATGTTCAGTACAACAGCCCAGCTCCACCAGCGCAATCACGGTGAACCAGCACAAACACAAACAAAGGATGGGAGGAATGTACCATCTTAGCAGTGGTTAGAGGGGGTCCGTGGAACAGTCCATATACACAAATCACAGGGGTTTTATACAATGAAGACAAAGAATCAAGCAAGAAAGAGGAGTCAGCTGAGACAGAGGAATATTTGCAGTAATGTGAGGAAACATTGATCTGGTCTTTTGTCCTTCCCAGTGACAGACGATGCATGACTCTCTCATGTGCCTCAGAGAAAGACAATCTACCACAGTCCAAGCACATACACCAGGTCCCATACTCCTTCAGTTGCTTTTCTACTCAAGTACTGAAAGCATTATACACCATGTATTCTGCTTGTTTTATGCTTTTTAACGTTCACATACCAATAGAAACATCAGAGACCAAGTTGGGGTTCAGTAACTTGCCCAAGGACACCTTGGTAAGAACTCCAGACTAGAGCACACAGAGATTGAACCAACAACCATCCTATTAGCAGATGACCTGCTCTACAGCCAACTGTAGAGCAAACAAGGAGGGTCAACAAGAGAGGGGAAAAAATGGATTGAATGCAGCTGTAGGCATATGTGGGTGTGTTGATTCTTACTGCCGTACATCCAGTAAAGTCGCTACGGACAGTTTATGACATCCTGAGACTGGTAGAGAAGACTTAAAGGTGACACAAGATTAATCATAGAAGCACAAAAAGGATATAATTTCTTGATAAAGACACAATAGATGATCATCGTTCATGACACAAATGTGCTCCCATTTGAGGTGTATGGAACAAGTGGGTGTTTCTCCTGCTGTTGATGTAAGATCCTGGTACTGATGTGACTGTGTATGAGCACCAAGTCCCCTTCAGAGGACTCTGTCCATTCCAACAGAACATCCCAAGTAAACAGGGGGACTATGAGATAAAAACATGGGCAGTACACTGCAAAAACAGCTATACTTGAAACAAGCCAAATATTCTTAAATCTGACAAAATTTTCTTGGTTTGAGGAAAAAAATCTGCCAATGGGGTAAGCAAACGTTGCTTGACTAGAATTCTTCAAACTAGCAACTTAATCTAAATGTCTTTTAACTAGACCAAATTGACGAAAATGTATGCTCAATTGAAGAAAGTGTGACTTATTATAAGGAAAGACACTTTGATATTTAGAAAATCTGTACCTAAAATGAGTATTATGCTTTCTTGAACAAGCTGTTTTCAAGAATTATTTGCTTACTTTAAGATTCTACACCTTAATTGAGATTTTTCACATAAAAAAAAATACTATAGGACAAATTTTCTTAAAACTGAATTGTTTCTTTCTTGATTGAGCTAAGTATAAGAATTATGTCTCGACTCTGAGAACAATAATCAGCAAAAATTCCTGAGAATAAGACACCATTTCTTCAAAAAACTGACCGACTACTGAAAATAAGGGAATTCATCTTAAATTAAGACAGCAAAAGCACTCTTAGTTTTTGTGCTTTTATTGACACAGCAATAGGAGAATCATGTCTAAAATAACCTACATTCCAGCCGGGTACTGTGTAACATGGCCAATATAAGAAGTGCATATTCCAGATACTCTTAACATGAATAATAACAGTATAACATACTCATGGCTGGTATCAAAAATAAATTTTGCTGAAGCTTAAAACAATCACTATTTCAAATCCTATATTACGTAACTTTTTAGAAGAACAAGTTTAAAAACCACGCAAACAAACATGTGTTTTACATTTGTACAACTTTTCTAGAGAAAAAAAACAACCTCACTGACTAACACTGAGTCTGATAAACAAGGCAGATGGAGTCTGTCATCTGAGAGACTCACTCAATGAATGACTTCCACTCACCAAGCGCCTTCCTGTAAGAGGGGGTTGAATCTCGGTCATGGATGAAGTCCTTGAGTCTTTCAGTTTGCAAGACAGACAGAAGCGTGGAAATGCACTTTGGATATGTGAGGTGGAGGGCATAGTAATATGCCATCAGATAGAGCAATCCCTCATTAAGATCCTTCCGGTCAAACGTGCTCACCGGTGTGGTTCCAACAGCTATCATGCAGTTGCCTTCAGAGACAAGCAGAACTGGACAAGCCAGGGGTCGCTGACGCAGGTAGCCTTCAGGGTCTTCTGAAGTCTGGCTCCCGGGAATGACATTGTGAGCGCCCCCTCATCCGCACGTTCCTGACGATGGAATCCTTGAGGACCAGCGTGGAGAGAGGAGGTGCCACCGGGGGCTGCTGGCCATCTGAGACGCCCGCGCCGCGGCACCGGGGGCGTTCAGATGGAGATGCG